AACTCATCTTCACATATTATGCAGTAACAAATTAACTTTAAATGTTCCTTCCCTTTCATGACAAGCAAAGTGTGCTGCCTGAGGCCTAATGGTAGGTTAAGTCCTGTGTAATGTATTCTGTAAATCTTATGACTGTGAACATATCTGTTCTGTATTAATACTGAAAACTTCCATTTAGTTTTCCATTTAGCTTTCCTGTGTCCTCCAAAGGAGGATACTGAGAATACTCCACTAGAGGTTGTGAGCCCTGGATCTAATCTGCACTGCAGAAATGATGCAGTTTGACACTGCTTTAACTGCCTTGACTCCATGCTATGGAATATTGGGATTTGTAGTTTGTTGTGGCACCAGAACTCTCTGACAGAGAAGGCTAAATACCTCACAAAGCTACAAATCCCAGAATTCCATGGCATGGAGCCAGGGCAGTTAAAGCGGCGTCAAACTGTATTATTTCTGCAGTGCAGATCAGACCCCAGCCACTGAACTGCATGCAGTTCGCTATGGAGAAATGGCATCCTGAGAAGCAAGAATGACTACTGAGGACATTTCAGGGTGCAGTGATCCTTAAACGCCTTTCTTTGAGCGGGTTTCTTTGACTTGGATGATCTTCTGCCAGGGTCTGAGAATGTGCAATTTGATGGGGAAGACCTGCCAGTTCTACTCAATTTGTCCAGCCTGGCTGGGAGCCCATGCTTAACTGATGAAAAGAAAAGCAAGAAAACAATCTGTCTTGACATGTGTTGGGTCTTGGGTAAAAGCTGGGTTGGCTTCCTCGGGGGCAGCCTTTCCTAATAAATAAATCAAATTTAAAATGGTGGGTGTCTTCACAATTAGCTGTGAAGAAACTGCAGGCATTTTGTGTGCCATCCAACAGTAAATGTTCACTCGTCTCCTGGAAAGGTGTGCAGCTGGTGAAACGCATCCACCACCAGCAGGAACAGCTTGCCATCAATCAGCCATTTGTGGGAGATTTTAGGAACAACTCCTTCTCTGCCTCGGAGGATGAACATGAGGCTTAATGAAAGAAGCAGAAATTACCTGGATGCATCAGGCTGCTTTTAAAAAGAAATTAAAATGGCAAATTGCTGTAGCCAGCATTGGTGCCATCATTAGACAGAGGGCTAGTTTACACATTTAAAATATTCTTCATTCTCAGGGCATGTTGCTGGAGAAACAGAGGAAGTTAATGTTGGATGTATTTCTTTTATTGTATATATGTAAAGAATAAGTGTTTTTAACATTAATAAAAAAATTTAAAAAATCTTCATTCCAGTCGAACAGAATGTGATCCAGACACATGTGATTTGCAGGACTTTGGGCTTTTTGCAGCCCCCTCAAAAACCCCTCAAACTCTGTAGAAAAAGCTGTGCTGTTTTTACTAGAGTATCCACTGAAATCTGCAGAAATGTGCATTATCTGTATCCATGGATTCAACCAGCCATGGCTTGAAAATATTAAAACAAACTTCCAAAAAGCAAACCTTGCTTTTGCCGTTTTATATGAGGGACACCATTTTACTATGGCATTGTAAATAATGGCTCTTGAACATCCAAGGATTTTGATCTCCATAGGGGGTCCTGGAACCGAACCCCAGCTATTGTATATCAGAATGCAATAATCTGACAATTAGTTACATTCCTTAGTTGTTAATATTCCTCAGTCAAGTCAGAGACTGGTAAAGTATTAAGACAAACCCATAGTGATAGTCCTATTGACCAAAATCTGATAGTAAACCCATCTGTCTGCTTCATATGCATTTGGATGGCTGCACGTTTGCAGAGGGAGAGTGAACAGATGCAAACAGATATGAATGTGTGCAGCAAAGTAAAGGCTACTAACTGTCAATGTGAATATGCAAAAATGCACACTACTTTGTATAGCACACCACCCAGAGGGACACAACTGTCCATGGTGGCCAATGCTAATATGCAAAGAGCATTGGAGAGATGCTAAAGGCCATAGCCAGAAGGGCCACATGGCCTTCAGCATCCCTCCTAAGCTACTTCTATGGCCTCTGGTATCATCAGTGGTGATCTCCCATGACCAATATTGGAGTAAGATTCAACAGTCAAGACAGTCAGTATCTGAATGTCAGCAAATTAGATAATTTCTGTAAATCACTTGATTCATTTATTTATGTATTTTCATTATGCTGGCTATGAGCTGTAATAAATGTATTGGATCGGAGGCACCATTTTGTCCTTCACCACCAAGACGTTAAAAATTTCGGGTGAGACTTTCAGCTGTTTTTCGTTTCACTGTGGAAAATCAAAAAATGAATTGGGTTAACAAACAACAACAGTGTTTTTCTGGAATTCTCCCAAGGATTGTGGCAGCTGTAAGCTGGTTTGTTTTTTTAATTCCAAGATCTGTAGAAAGGTAGTGTATATACTCATGTATAAGTCTAGAAATTTAGGTTAAAAAAATTAACACCCCCCCCCCCAAAAAACCCTGAATCAACTTATCCATGGGTCAATGTAAGTGCTGTACTTTAATTCTTATTTTTTAAAAAGGAATCATCGCCTGGTGAAAGGCAAGAATGTAATCTGTCTTGGAAGCACTGACCCTGCTCTATGCTCTCATCCATCCAGCCTTTAGTATGAACTCAGATAGTTATGCCTGCTGGAATATTTTTTGCATTGTTTTCCTCTGCTTCGTTCTTTACATCCTTTGTTGCATGCCCCTAAGTTTTGCCCTCAACTTATCTATGGGTCGTATCAAAATCCATCATTTTGGCCCCAAAACCTGCCCTCGACTTATACATGAGGTTGACTTATAGTCGAGTATATACAGCAAATGTTCTCTCCTCAAGCCCAGAAGCCTCATGCTGTGTACGAAAAGTCCTGATAGTCTTATTGACTGATGGTCAATCTGATGGAATACCCATAACAATACATATTAGACTCCATCTGTATAGCAAACAAGATGTCAAAACATGTAAGGAATTATTCTGTGACTAATTGGAGGAATTAAATTCTGAAAAAGTATAGTGGGGGAAAGGAGAACCAGAGTAAATAGTAAAGACATTTAACTTAAGAAACTGGAAGCATAAATGTTGCTGAACCCCAAATAAAGAAAGAAAAAAAGCAGGAAGGTCTGAGGCCATTCTTGGTAATGATGGGAACAAAACAAGAGATAACCGAATGTGTCACAATACTTAATTAACACTTTGCTCTCAATTTGAGTAAGGATGATATAGTGAGAAGGGTTGGGTTGAACGGATAGTTGATGCAAAAGAGCTTGAAGAACTGGAACTCACATTTAATCTGAAGCCGATGTGAAGCCCAGTACTGACTGTAATTTGCAGTTGGCCAATTCTTCTTCCTCTTCCTGCTCTGACCTGTGCTTTTTTTGTCTATTATGTTACTGAATTTAAATATTTTTAAAATACAAAAGAGCATTAAAATTCAATACATTTAAAACATTCAGTGAAAAATCAGGCACCAAGCGATCTTCCTCGGTTAATGTTTCATCTGTTTATTAGGTTTAGATGCAAGCGCGCTTTTAATGTGTAAGCAGGAAAGCTTCTTATTTTATTTGTATTTTAAAACTGTTGCATGTCTTTTAAATTACTATATTGTTTTATGTGGTGATTTCAATCCTTGCTTTTAAATATGGTGAAGATTTTTTTTAATGGACTCTCTCTGGGAGCCACCTTGGGTCCCACTCAGAAGGCAGCACTCAAATGAAATAAATAATGATATCTTTCATCCGATAAGCTCAAGGCTGCATAGATGGTTCTCTCTCCCCACTCTCCCATTTTTATCCTCACAACAATTTGGTGAAGTAGGTCAGGCTGAGAGGCGGCAGATCATCTTCTAAAGAGTTTTATTGACGGTGTGAATGAAGAAAAAAAAGGAGGTGACTATTTTGGTTCAGAAAGGTATGGTAGTACCCTTATTTTCTACAATTAAGCGGATAATAGAAATAGTAAAAGAATTCTCATACCTGGGATCAAACATTGATAGGAATGGGGTCTGCAGCCAGGAAATCAGAAGAAGATTAAGGATGGGGAGGACAGCTATGAAAGAACTAGAAAATGTAAAGCTATACAACTGAGCATAAAAGTTAGAATCATCCAAGCCATCGTATTCCCTATTACCATGGATGGATGTGAGAGTTAAGAAAGATGATAGGAAGAAAATCAATTCATTCAAGATGTGGTGCTGGAGAAGAGTGCTGAAGATCCCGTGGATGGCCAAAAAGACAAATGAGTCCTAGAACAGATCAAGCCAGAAATCTCCCTGGAAGCCAAGAGGACAAAATTGAGGCTGTCGTATTTCGGACACATCATGAGAAGAGAGGATTCATTGGAAAAAACAATAATGCTACGAAAGGTGGAGGGAAGCAGAAAGTAAGGAAGGCCACATGCTAGATGGATGGACTCTATAAAAGAGGTCATGGGTATGAATTTACAGGACCAAAGCAGAGCAGTGGTGGACAGGGGTTCCTGGAGATGTCTCATCCACAGGGTCACCATGAGTCGAAATCGACTTGAGGGCAGTTGGCAACCACAAAAGTATAAACATGACAGGCATCAAGTAAGTGAATCACCATAAAGCTAAAAGGACATGGGCTGGCGTTCTTGACAATATGCTGTGTACAAAATGCTTTGGGCATTTAAGACTTGATGGCATCTCGTGTAGGACCCTCTACTTGATGTTATCTGGAGTGTCTACTCCTTGTGTTATGGTTCAGACCCTCTCTTCCTCTCTTGCCTACCTGTTATAGTAATTATTGGCATAGACATGTGTGATCTTGCCCTGCATGCACAAATACCATTGAATTGGATAGGAGTTGATGCCCTCTCCTGGTTGTAAGGATGTATGTTTTGGGGTGGCCTCTGTGTGTGTGTGTGTTGCTTGCCTTCCAACCTAGGTGACCTTAAGGAGAGCCTACCACAGGATTTTCTTAGCAAGTTTCTTCAGAGGGGGTTTGCCATTGGGGTCCTCTGAGGTTGAGAGATTGTGGCCTGCCCAAGATCACCTAGTGAATTTTCATGGCTGAGCAGGGATTCGAACCCTGGTCTCCAGGGTCATAATCCAATGCTCAAACCTCTACACCACACTGGCTCTCCTTGGGGTGGCCTTTATAGCTTATCTTGGGCCTCTGTTCTGTACCTTTTATTGCTCGCGTTGGCATGAGTTGGCACACTTGAAAGAATCTTGTGCATACAAAAAGATTTGGGTTGGATCATGGAACTCAGAGAGATCTCATAAAGGGCCCTCTCCTGGTTGTAACGGTGTAAGACAGTGGTACCCAAACTTTTTAACTTTTGGGACCCTCCTTTACATCTGCATGCAGACATTGCATCCCCACCTCGACATATGAATAAAAACACTTCCGTTTCTTCAGTGTATTTTCATTTGCACATTCATGGACAGTGTATTCATAGTTCAACAATTTGTAAGGAAATGACATAATTCAAATTAGAACAATTTTATTGAAGTAAATTCAATGTTGAAGTCAACGCAGGTGTAAATTTTACAGATAAAAAAGTTTGGGAAGAGGAAGAGGAGGAAAGAAACTCTCCTGGGGGTCCCAACTCACCATTTGAGAACCACTGATTTGGAGTGTCCCAGAGTTTATTTGGAGGGAAGGAAGAGCCTTAGTTCCTTATTATTGTCTATATTACATTATTACAGTTGACCCTCTGTACCCACTGTTTATCCATGGATTCAACCATCCATGGCTTGAAAATGTGTATGTGTGTGTATACTGTATATACTCATGTATAAATCTAGAAATTTTAGTTAAAAAATTGACCCCCAAAAAACTGAGTTGCTTATCCATGGGCCAATGTAAGTACCGTGCTTTAATTCTGATATATATATATATATATATATATATATATATATATCCCAACCTGTTTTGTTGCAGTTATTGTTTACTTGTGTTATTATTTTAAGTGTGTTTTAAATTGTCAATTGTTCAATAGTATTTTAAGGTGGGTAGGTGGGATTGTGGGATATGGAATGTATATTTTAATGTTGCAAGCCGCCCCGGCTGCGTTACGCAAAGAGGCGGGATATAAATAAATAAATAAATAAATAAATAAAATAATTAAAATAGAACCATCCCCTGGTGAAAGACAAGAGTGTAATCTGTCCCAGGAGTAATGACTTCCCTCTATTCTCTCATTCATCCAGCTTTTCGTATGAGCACAAACAGTTATTCCTCCTGGAATTTTGCAAGTTCTTTGGCATCATCGTTTTCCTTTGATTCATCTTTTCCATCCTTTGTTAAATGTCCCTAAATTTTACCGTCGACTTTTGCATAGGTCCTATTAAAATCCATAATTTTGGCCCCAAAACGTGCCCTCGACTTATACATGAAGTTGGAGCGGCAAAGTGCTGGATCGGGGTTGCGGCGTGCGGTTGCCGCGGCCCCGATCCGGCGCTCCCAGGGGCGGCACAGATCCGCCTCTTAGGGGCCATCTGTAGAGCCCCAAAGTTTACTGTCTTCGTACGGAAATGTCTTATTCAGATCCTTCTATTTTCCCAGGCAGGCATTCAAAAAGCAGAAGCAGCATTATGGGGGAAAGAATAGAGCGGGTTGATGCTTCTTTCGGGTGCTCCTGGACAGACAAAGCTCTTACCTTTTGCCACTATTCAGAGAAGGGGAAAGGTTAAAATACAGTACTTACATTGACCCATGCATAAGTCGACCCAGCTTTTTCTGGATCAATGTTTTGATTAAAATTTCTAGACGTATACATGAGTGTATCCAGTTTTTAACAGAGGGGCGGGGTATAAATAATAACAATTATTATTATTATTATTATTATTATTATTATTATTATTATTATTATTATTATTAATGCCGTTTCATAATGAATGTAAGGGGGATTTTGGATGCCTGCAGTGTATTGTGGAATGCACAGGCAGAGACCGGAAAGTTAGTAAGAAAGTGCCACTATATAGAGAGATCTTGTAGCACCTTTGAGACTAACGGAAAGAAAGAAATTGGCAGCAGAAGCTTAAGTCCAAATGCATCTGAGGAAGTGGACTTTACAAAAGCTCATGCTGCCAGTTTCTTTTATTTCCGTTAGTCTCAAAGGTGCCACAAGATCTCTCTACAGACTGATTTTACCAACTAACACGGCTATATCTTTGAAAGTGCCGCTATGCAATGTTTGCACAAAGAAACTCTCTGCTCTTTATCCATCTCTCTTTTGGGAGATTGTCATACATTGGTTTTTCGGGCTGTGAGGCCGTGGTCCAGAGGAATACATTCTTCTAGGGACGTTATCACACGGGGGCAAATCTGCTGGTTAATCCA